ATTATAACAATCCATAGTTCAATTAGTTCAAGCATGATTGTACAATTGTTGCCACCATCATTTTCTAAAGATTTTATTTCTTATTTCATTCTTTGGTATCAGCTCCCCTTTATCCCTGCACTTCCCCACCTTATCCCCCAAGAATCTTTGCTATTATAGTAAACATTTTTGTTATTCCTCTTTTCCTCCCCTGTATCTTACACCATCCAAAGTATCCATTCACCTGCCATTCTGTTATTCGTTTTCCTCAAGTGGGGTTATATAGTCATCATTGCTATCAGTTCCTCCTCCCCTCCCCCTTTCTGTATCCTCAAGGAATCATTTCTCCCGTTACAATTCCTAAAGGGTTTATCTATCTTGGATTTCATACATTGAACGATCTTAATTATACACATGAACATATGCAGGTCTAACAGGATTAATGAGGTAAAACTAAAACCATAATAATAGGGGGAGGAAATATTAAAGAACTAGAGGATAGTTATATGTTTCACCAGTGCTATACTGCACCTTGTATATATCATCCTTTCCATGTGGCCCTTCTGAGAGGGATGGTCCAGTTATCTTACAGGTGGTTTGGGGGTCTCTACTTTGTCTATGTTCCTTCACATCAATTTGGTTGCTTGTTTTTGAACTACTGACACCTATTCCCATCAGCACCTCATGATCACACATGTGCTTCTTCTTTGTGGACTTTGTTGCTTCCCTACTAGATGGCCACTTGGTTAATTTCAAGTCTTCAAGACCCCAAACACTAAATCTTTTAAAAGCCAGGCACCATCAGCTTTCTTCACTACACTTCCTTATGCACTCCTTTTGTCTTCAGTGATTGCATTGAGAAGGTATCATACATTGCCACATTATTAGAACAAATCATTCTTGTACTGAAGTAAGATTAAAGTAGAGACCCAAAATAACTTAATTCTTTGGGATATATTCCAAGAAGAGGGATTATTGGATCATATGGAGTTTCTATTGCCAGTTGTTTGAGGCCGTGCTGTACATACTTACACAGTAGTTGTACTTACAATCCCACCAGCAGTGTATAAAAGTTCCAATCTCTCCTGTACCTCTCCAACTTTTGTTATTTGCTGGTTTTGGGGTGTTTTTAATGTGATTTTCATTGTTGGTGAAAAGGGGTATCTCATCATTTTGATTTGCATGTCTGGATGGATAGTATTTCTCTATATTTCTTGGCCATTTCTATGTCATCTTTGGTAAACTGTTCAAGTCTTTTGCTCACTTTTTAATTGAGCTATTCATATTTTTCTTATTGAGGTGTTGCAGTTTTCTATAGATTTCAGAAATTAGTCCTGTGTCAATTGTGTCATTGTCAAAATTTTCTTCTCATTTTTGGGGTTATTTTTTCCCACTTTTTTGATGAAGTCTTTTGATGCATTTAAGTATCTTATTTTTGTTAAGTCCCAAAGTATTGGGACTTTTGCTAGCACCATTTGTTGAAGAGACTTTATACATACCATTTAAAGTTTGGGGCCCTTTTTTGAAAATCGGTTGTCTAAAAGTGGATGAATTTATTTCTGGGTTTTCTATTCTGTTCCATTGTTCATGTACCCTTCATTTTACCAGTACCAGGATATTTTAATCACTGTGGCTGTGTAATAATTTTTGAGGTCAGAAAGTGAGTAGTATCCTAATTTGTTCTTTTTCTAAAGTTCTTTGCTCATGCTGCATCTCTTCCCTCCCCATATGAAATTGGTAATTATTTTTCCATTTCTTTAAGGAATGAAGTTGGAATTTGGATTGGAATTGCATTATATTTGTAGAGTAGAACTGCCCCATAGGGTTTCTGAGGCTGTAATCTTCATGAAAGCAGATGGTCACATCTTTTTCCTACAGAGCAACTTCTGGGTTTGGCCTGCTGACCTTTCTTTAGCCACTGCATCACCAGGACTTTTAAAACCAAAACCAAACCCACTAACGTAGAGTTGCTTCCAACTTAAAGTGACCCTGAGTAGGGTTTTCAAGACTAAATCTTTATGGAAACAAACAGCATAGCTTTCTCCCAGGGAGTGGCTTGCGGTTTTTAACCAATGACCTTGCTGTCTGTAGTTCAATGCCTAAGCCACAATTCCACCAAATTAGGCATTCCAGCTTATACCTGATCTTAGTAGAAAAGCTTTCCATCTTTTACCTTCACCAGTTTCAAGAAGTTCTCTTCTTTCCTAGTTGGTTGAGTGTTTTTATCATGAAGGGATATTTAATTTTGTAAAATACATTGACTACAACTATTAGGACGATGATACAATTTTAGTTCTTTATTCCATTGATCTGGTACATTGAATTGATTGTTTAGGGGATGTTAAAACAGCTTTATATTACTGGAATTAGGTCTACCTGACTATTGCATACAACCCTTTTCATGTATTGCATGTTAGATTTGCTGGTATTTTATTGAACCTTTTTACATTTACATTCATAATTTAATTGCTCTGTGGTTTCATTCCCCCACCAATAGTTTTATTGAGATGTAATTCACATATCACTGTTGTTTTCTTTAACTGTGCTTTCTCTGATTTTAGTATCAGTATGATCCTGGCCTTATATAATGAATTTTTGGAAGATTCTTGGAATTGTTGGTAGAAATTACCAATAAAGTCATCGTTGCTTAGGCTTATCTCTGTGAAATGGTTTTAAATTATTAGTTTATTTTTAAATTTGTTAGAGGTATGTTCAGATTTCTGTTTCTCTTGAGTCAATTTCAATAGTTAATGGAATCTAGACGGTTGTCCTGTTTCATCTGTGCTATGTATGCAATTTGTCAACATGCACTGTGCTTACTAGTTCTTTATAATCATTTTTATTTCTTTAAGGTCAGAAATAATGTCCCCTATTTCATTCCTAATTTCATATAATACCTCATAATTTTTTGTTGTTGATATGATAACTTTAGGTAATATATTGTAGGAACTCTGGATACTGTTTTGTGGCTTGTTGTTCTTCTTTCTTTGTTTAGTAAATTAGTTAGACTATTTCAATGAAGTCTGTTTTCCCTACAATGTACAGCCTCTGATGTCATTCTTCATCCGGTGCAACTTTCTGTGTGTCCAACATCATTCTGGGATAACAATGATTTTAGCAAGCTCTTTTTTATTATATCTTTTTCTCATATTTCTGTTAAGCGGATGCCCTCTGTTATTATTACACCCAGTACTTAACCTGCAGTAATTCCTACCTTTTTTCTATTTTTTTGTTTTTTACAATTTCCTGAGTATATAATTTTCCCAATGGTCTAATCCAATTACATTTGGTATCCTTTTCAAGGATAATCTCTGAGGTTTGTTCTGTCTCCAGGTGGACTCATCTTAGCTATGTTTCCCTGATTCTTTCTGTTAAACACCTACCTGGCCTAAAGTTTAGCTTGTTGCTTTTCGGACACTACCAGCTTCTATTTTTCATTGTTCTTGAGAGTGCCCTTAGGCTTGGCTAAACTTCCCAGTATTCTGTCCCAAATAAAGTAATTTCTTAATACTGTATCAGAAAATTTCTTTATATCTAAGCCTTCAATATTATTTTTTTTCCAGGCAAAATCCTGATACATTTTTTTAATCAATTTATTGGGGCTCATACAATTCATCACAATACATAGATCAAGTGTGTAAAACACATCTATACATTTGTTGCCCTCATTATTCCCAAAATCCGCTTGCCTCTTGGGTTCCCGGAATCTGCTAATTTTCCTTTTTTTTTTCCCCTCCCCTTCCCTTCCTCCTCCCCTTTCCCCCATGCACCCTTAATAATTTATAAATTATTATTGTATCTTGTATTACACTGTCCGGCGTCTCCCTTCACCCACCCCTCTGCTGCCCGTCCCCCAGAGAGGAGGTTATATGTGGCTCCCTGTGATCCATTCCCCCTTACTACATCCCCTTTCCCTCCTGGTATCGCCACTGTCACCCCTAGTCCTGAGAGGTTCTTCTGTCCTAGATTCCCTGCGTTTCCAATTCCCATCTGTACCGCTGTGCATCATCTGGTCTAACCAGGTCTGCAAGGCAAAATTGGGGTCCTGGTAGTTGGGGGGAGGAAGCCTTCAATATTATTAAATATGAAGTAGCTCCTATAATCCATGGACAAGGAGCATTAAAAGATAATGGAATTTTTCCATGAATTTTTGAAGCCCCCTCATATACTATTTTATTAGTTGCTTTATCATAATTTACTTACACATCTATCCCTTTACATTTGGATAGTTGGATTATGTCTAAATGTTCTATTATTATAATACTTTTAAATGAACATTTTCAAGATAGGTATATTTTTTTCTTCCTTTGAGGAGCCCTGCTGGCATACTTGTTAGGCTTCTAACCAAAAGGTCCGTAGGAAATTAGTTGGACTTTTTCAATGAAGTCTATTTCAATGAAGCCACCAGACACTCCTCAGGAGAAAGATGGGCCTTTCCACTCCCATCTCAGAAACTCACAAAGGCAGTTCTATCTTGTCTTAAAGGCTCTCTATGAGTCAGAACCAACTCAATGGCAGTGAGCTTGGTTTGCATTATTTTCAACAGGTTAATTCAAAAGAGTGGAATTTTTGTGTCAACCTTCATAGCAAAGGTATTTTTCATGATTCTTCTTATGTATCACCATATTTTTTCCTAGAGAGATTGTACCAGTTTCTATTGCAGCTAACCCACTCCACTCATTTCCGTCAAGTCAATTCTGACTCAGAGAGACTCCATGTAGGCTTCCCAAGGCTGTAGATCTTTATGGGGGCAGATAGCTTCCTCTTTCTCCCGCAGATTAGCTGGTGGGTTTGAACCACAGACCTTGCAATTAGCTCTCCAACACTTGCTTAACAGTGCTGCCAGGACTACTGATATTACTGCTAGTTACTTATAAATTTGTTATCATGATAGTAACCTATTTACATAATATATGGTTTATAATTCTGCAGAGGTCTAACTAAATCTGTTTAGTGTTTGCTGTACTATGTTACTTTATCAAGTACTTTTCATCTTTATTTTTCTCCCTTCTTTCTTCAAGTCACCTGGAACCTCTATGATTCTAAGTAGTGGGTCTTTTCCGAGCATATATGATCAACAGACATCTGTAGATAATCGTCAAGGTCAGTGGCAACGCCGAAGAAGGTTGGATGGAGCACTGAACAGAGTCCCTGTAGGATTTTATCAAAAAGTGTGGAAAGTTTTACAGAAGGTAAGCCTAGTACATTGTGGATGCTTCTTTATTTCTTCCCACAACTCCTCAATCTGCTTGGCTGAGACACAACATGTTAGCAATCATATAAGAGAACAAAACTAATAAAACATAAAAACAAAACAGTGGGTTGGTTTCGGTGACATTGTTTATAATTTGGCTTATCTCCATTATTGTTGCTATAGTATTTTTTATAAATTCGATTTTTAAAATAGTCACTTTTCTGATGCTGGACACAATTGAGCTGATATATTCCAGTTTGAAGTTTGATGCTACATTTGCTACTGATCAAATGAATTTTTACCAATGAACTTTTTAGAAACAAATATCACAAGTGGGGAGTTGGTGTAAGGAGCTCTTGTCAATATATTTTCTTGGATGCAGCTGCTAAATAATTGCAATGCCATAATGATGCTAATAGTTCAAAACTGTTTATTTGATCAATTTTTACACTTTTCTTGTAAAAGTTTATTTTAGCAAAGACATATGAAGGCACTTTACATCAGTATGATAATGACAGATTTATAGGACATAGAAGATTTATAAGGTCTTTTTTTAATGTCTCTTACTTACACTTTTTGCTTCACTGCCCTGATTTCTACCAAAACTTAAAAGCCATTAGTTTTGTGGGATTTTTTTTCCTCATCATGCCAGTATTCTTCCAGAGATTACTTGCGTGTGATATTAATGATACTGTTTGATAATGTCCACATTCTGTTGGGTCGTCTTTCTTGGGAATGGGCACACATACGGGTCTATTCCAGTCAACTGGCTGTCTTCACATTTTCTTGGCATAGACAAGTATCTCCAGTGCTACATAGACTCTTGAAACATTTCAATTGGTATTCTGACAATTTCTGGAGTCCCGCTTTTCACTAATGTTTCCAGTGCAGCTGGGACTTCTTCCTTCAATTCCATCGGTTCTTGATTAGACGCTACCTCTTAAAGTGGTTGAATATCAACCAATATTGCCCATAGAATCCTTCAATATTTCAATTTCAGGATTGAATGTTTTCTACAATTCTGTCTGCTTGAGAAATGATGAGTGATGTTCATTTGGTTTTTTAACTTGAGATCTTTGCAGGTTTCATTTTAATATTTTACTTAGTCTTCTCAAGCTGTACTTTGAAATTTTCTGTTCAGTTCTTTTACTTCATCATTAGTTGCTTTAACTGTTCTACTTTCAAGAGCAAGTTCCTGTCTATTTCATAACCATTTACTTTCAGGTATGAAGTTCTTATTGTCATCACACAACTCATCTGCTTATTGTTCATTAGTGTTGATTGCACCAAACATATTCTTGAAATGGTCTCTAAATTTAGATGAGCTTTTCTCAGTCCTATTTGGGCTCTATTGGGCTTGTTTTTATTTTCTCCAGCTTTAACCTGAACTTGTGTATGAGCAATTGATACTCTGTCCTACAGTCAGTCACTGGCCTTGTTTTGTTGATGATACTGAGCTTCTCTATAATCAGCTCTCACTTATACAGACCATCTGAATCCTCTGTACTCCAGCTGGCCATCCGTATGATCCATGTGTACAGTAGCCACTGATGTTGTTGAAAAATGGGGATAAGGAATGCTTTAAAGTCAGAAAAGATATATGTCAGATTTGTTTCTAGTTAGTATACATGTCCAATCTGTATGCTGAGAAAATCACCTGAGAAGCTAGATTATATGAAGAAAAACATGGCATCAGGATTGGAAGAAGCTAATTAACAACCTGCAATTTGCAAATGACAGAACCTTGTTTACTAAAAGACAAGAGAACTTGAAGCACTTACTTATGAAGATCAAAGATTCAATATGGGTTATAACTCAACATAAAGAAAAAAATAATCCTCAGAACTGGATCAATAAATAGTATCATGATAAACTGAGAAAAAATTGAACTTCTCAAGCATTTCATATTACTTGGATCCACTATCAATGTGCATGGAAGCAGCGATCAAAAAATCAAATAACATATTGCATTGGACAAATATTAAAGAACAAAATGTCACTTTTAAGACTGTGTTAGTTACATAATTTTATGTCAACTTGATAAATAAATATAGGGGTGGAGTCTAGCCTGTCAATCAGGTCACAGCTTGATGATGCCTCCTTGTGAGCGTGACCTTCTTGGTGAGAATTCTGGGAACTTCCTTTCTCTCTCTTTCCCTGGAGGTGGGCCACACTATCTCTGCTTCACAGTCCTGTTGAGGAGCCACATTGAGAAAGCTGGAGGAGCCACATGGAGACCCATGTCTGTGCTGAGATGCTTCCACCACCACCAAATGAGGTCATCAAACTGCTACCTGAGATGCTTCCACCACCACCAAATGAGGTCATCAAACTGCTACCTGATTGACAGGCTAAACCCCACCCCTTCACCCAAAAGTCTCAAATTGACAACGGATTATGTAACTACCACATAGAGGAACAAAATAATAAAGATTAACTTTCTAAATTGTTTCTGAGGTCTAATTAGGCCTAAAAGCACTGAGATTTCCACCCCTATCTCTGTAAATACAGAGAAGTCTTTCATTATTAGTAAACAGGGCACTGTTAATCCATGAAGTGAAGTGGCAAAACTAATACCTAAGCTAGCACCACCATTACATAAAGTGCTGATAAGAAGTGAGGCTCTGGATGATTGCATATTTGATATCTTTGTATAATTCTGTCAAGATAAGAAGCATAAGAGAGCTGATTGTCAGGTACTTATTACAATAGAAAAACTGGTAAAGGAAAAGATGAACTCAGAGGTTTGAAAACCTGGTTCAAAAGTTGAATAAATGACCTCAAACCTTCTATTTGTACCATGAAAGAAAGCTTTATCTGTTCTAGTAACTGAACTGACATCATTGAAAACTACAATGAGTCGCTGAATCACCAACTTAATTCTCAACCTAGAAAGGCATCTGACACTAAAGGGAGAGCATTGATTGGAAAGATATGAGACCCGAAAACTTGGATTAGATATTGGACTATCTAATCCAATAATCCAGGAGATGGAGCTACTGAACCACGAGATTCCATTGAGCCATTCTAGACACTAGCACCAATTCACCTATTTGAAAAGATTAATCAACTTAAGTAAAACCATTATCCCTGCCACATATACTTGAGGATAATAGCCCAGTTATGCATGTTGTTGTAAATAGGGCTGTATCTGGAACTTTGCCTAAGGCAGATGCTTTACAAAATAATGCTTCTTCAGGTTCCCAGGAAACACCCTTCCCAATCATTATTGCCTCTAGACCTTTACTAGACTTAAGACCCAGGGAGTCCTCAAAGGTGAAATCTAGATGGTGATCCAGGAAGAAGTGCATTATAACTAAAGAACTGCTACAGGGTTCCAATGTTTATGGACAGAAACCTGGGGAATATGTGTGGGAATGGTTATTAAGGGGCTGGAGTAATGATATAAGGATCAGTCTGAGTTAGCCCACTAAGTATAGTACCAGAGGTTTGGGGAGGATGTTAGTTTATCTGGTTGGTTTGCCAATACTTGGTTTGGTTGGTTGGGAGATGGCCTATGCTAAGTCAATTGAAGTACCAGAACTACTTTGGTATACTATAGAAGAAGGCATCCAAAGGCTTAGGGAAATCAGCTTGTTAGAGTAGATTTATCAGATAAACTCAAAGACCCACAAATGGAAGGACAGAGGACATACATGCACCTTTACCAAAACCGTAAGAAACAAATTTGTGAAGGGAGCCACAGCATCTCTAAAAACTTCTATGATTGCTATTTTATGTCAACCAGGCATGACAGTGGAAACAACCCTAAGTGAATGAAGACACTTGCCTTCAAGGGGGCTAATTGGGCCCCATGGGGGTAGGAGCAACGTTTTGGCACTCAATTGAAAGAGACAGGGTGGGCATGGTTACCATAATGGACAGCAGGGTCAAAGTAGTCATCTGAATAGCCTGCCTGGTATGAATGTATGGTGTTGCCTAGTTAGGCAGACTGTCCCTAGGAGTGAAATGAGAAGCCTACTTGAACTTATACAAGCAGAACACTTCTAGATCAGAGGAATAATAGTCTCACTTAAATTGCCAGAACAGAGAGTCATGATCCTTAAATCAGTTCTCAGACTCGAGCCAATTTATAGACCTACAGCCCTGTGAATGAAAGGGTGGCCAAGTCCTTTTGAGGAAGGACCCCACTATACCACCAAAGATTTACACTGTTAATCCCCAACGTGATCTGCGGCCTTTCACATAGGTGGCTATTCACTGGGAGAAAGGAAATAATCAGACTTTTCAGGAATTACTGGACACTAACTCTGAATGGACAGTAATCCCAGGAAACCCAAAAAGTTTGGAAGACCCAACAATCAACATGGGAGCATATAGAGGTCAAGATAAGCTAAGGAATATTAGCTCAGGTACTTCTTACAGTGGGTCCACGGGGTCCCCAAACTCATCCTATAGTAATTTCTCGGTTCCAGAATGGATTGTTGGAATAGACATATTTGGCAACTGCCAAAACCCCAATATTGGATCCCTGAAATGTGGAATAAAGGCTTTTATGGTAGGAAAAGCCAAATGGACACCATTAGAACTGCCTTTGTCTAGGAAGATAGTAAACCAAAAGCAATACTGCATTCCTGGAGGGATTGGAGAGATCAGTGTCACCATCAAGGACTTGAAGGATACAGGGGTGGTGATTCCCACCACATCCCGATTTACCTCACCTATTTGTTCCTGGTGGTGTAATGGTTACGTGTTGCTCTGCTAACTGCAAGGTCAGCAGTTCAAAACCACCGGCCATTCTGTGGGATGAAAATGAGCTTTCAATTCCTGTAAAGAATTACAGTGGGTTACAGAGTGAGGAGACTGCGTCTGCCTCCAGCTCTCACAGCCATTGCAGTGCATTAAAGCGCCATAGAGACAGCGCCCAGCCGGGCAGAGCTGGGCAGCCTTGGGCGACTCTGCTTCCCTAAGGAAATAAAACATAACTCAACATGGGCAAAGAGAGTCACAATGTCATTTTGTGTGCAAACTTCTGGG